TTAATCACATATTTGATCAAACTTGTTCAACTATAGTATTTATGGACTCTCYACTGTTTTACCTTGATTTGTTGCTGAGCCAGGATTTGATTTTATGAAGAAGAGAAGTATCATTCGGTAAAACGAACTCATAAAGAGTAAAGTGTTTTTGTGATGGAATAAAAATTGACAGCTCCTCATGGACGTCCGTTGGCCCTCCACATCTACTGTCTCCTGAGTGCCCATAATGAGAGGGCTGCTTTCCTCTCTGTTATTTTATGTTATGTTAAYAAAACCCTAAAAGTGGTTGTTATTATCTGCATCTCACAGATGAGGATGGGCCATTTAATACCATCTAGAATCACACAGCCTAGAGGATCTACGCCACCAGAGAGTTCTGCTCAGGAAAATAAAGAACCTGATGTTCTTGGATCATTCATTTAAATTATCTGCAACATCTTAAGAAGAGATGGATTTTCTTAGTAGCAGGGAATTGGGGTTTGAGCTCAGCCCAGACAGAGGCAGAGACGGTGAAGGCCTGTGTTGGGTGGCTGTGTTGGCAAGCCGTGGATGGGGTCGAAGGAGGCTGTGCTGACTGGACCTGGTTGCTGCTTCTCCTGCGCTTGCACCAGAGGAGCACAGGAACAGAATCATGAACTCGGCTCTTGGACCTGTGGTGACACATTCTGTCACAACTTTAATTGTAAATGACAGAATCACACTCAAAATAGCATGAGAAAGGTAGGGAGGAGTTAGTTGGCTGAATAATGGGGACATCCAGTTGGCTTTAGGCACAGCTCTAATTAGGACGGGCTCTCCCACCCCCACTTCCCAGGATAGGCGGGAGGCCATCCTCTAACCATGTTCTTTCAGGTCAGTGACTCCCATGGAAATTTGTTGGTTATTTAGGTCAAAGTCTTGGAGGTTCACTGTCTTGGGAGCCAGTCACAGAGGTCAGGCTGTCATGTCCTTGCCTGGTGAGGATGAGGTGAGGTGCTGGCAGTGGACCAGCTCTGCTCAGCCACAGGGCATACGTTGCCCAACAGGAAAAGGGCCTTTGCCAAATGAAGGAGCCGGAAAATTTCTGGGTCCAAAAAACGGCTGACTTTGAGGGATGTGTAGTCCAGTGCAAGTCAAGATTTCCTTAAAATTCATAAAACTTTGACTGCTGTGKCTGTTGTAATGATTTTTAATGTCCTGTGTTATGGATTTAGTTTCCCCAGGAAGTAGACTCCAAGGGGTAAAATCTGAATTCAGGTTTATGAGGAGTGCYTTGGGGGACCCAGAGTGGTGAGGGAGTGTACAGGGACCGCAGCAGACCCACCAGAAATTGGGGTGGCCCCGAGACGTCCCAGATTGAAGCTGTGTGCTTCCACACAGGCAGGACAAGTGTGGGCTGACCCAGAGAGGAGGGCCCCCTTTGGTGAAGGCAGTTCCTGGAAGGGAGGAAGGGAGGAAGGGAGGAGCCCCTGTAGTTCGGCAGTCAGTAGAAGAAATTTCCTTCCCAACTTGGAAGGCAACTGACTGCAGCTTCCGCTGCCCTATCATGGAATAAAATTAACTCCAGGAAATGTGTTCTGTTTACCTGTCACTTTTAGTGCTGTCTGGCATATCCCTGCACTGTTGATCAGAGGTCCCAGTTTGAGGGCCACAGCAGCGACACTGGGAACCTGGCAGATGCAGTGGAGGAGAAACCAGAGCGAATGAACGACCGAAGAAAGAGAGACTTGGGCCTTGCCAGAGGCCTCCCAGCCTCTGCCTATGGGTCTGATCCTGGGGACCACTGGAGTGTGGTCAGCAATCCAGGCCTGGAAGGGTTCCTTCCCATTTTCCTTCTGCTGGTTTARAGGTCCTTGGCACTGGTCCTTGCCATGTGTTCAGCCTCCAGTGATGGGAGAACGTGGAGCGAGAACTCCATTCCAGCTGGGCAGGAGCAGCAAGCTGCTGCTGTGTGGGGACAGGGGCTGCCCGAGCGCTGGTGCGGCTGCCTGGGCTCGGCTGGCCCAGGCAGGGGGTTTCAGCCAGTTTGTTTTGATGCTGCTGGAGCCTTTCTGACCTGCTAGCACTGTGATTGCTTCATTTCCTCTGTAAGGTGCTAGAATGGTTCCTTTCCCTTTTTTTTTTTTTTTTTGACTGAGGTCCATTCCTGGACAGGGAGGAAGCCTGGGTGTGGGATGGGACACTGAGGTGTCTAGTGTGGGTGCTGGCGGTTTTCCTGAGCTACAGAGCACATTTCTCTGGCACAGATGGATACCTCTCTCCCAGCTTCCCTGGAGATCCTGAATTGAAAGGAGAAAATGCAGATTCCCTTCTGAATAATTTTCCCTGTGATTGAGCTTCTTTTAATTAAAGGTGACTTTTATTAAGAGCTCTTGAAGACATAAGCATTTAAACATTCTTGGTTGAAAGTTCTTAATTCACTTATGAACAGATGCGTACTAAATGCCAGTGATGTGCCAGGCACCTGTCAGTGAACAGAATATGTGAAAGTCTCTCTTCTTACTCAGGGAGATGGTTAGTAGTAGTGAATCATAAGCTGAGAAGTCAGGCAGTGCTCTGCAAGAAGATGTAGACCAGGGGGAGGGCCAGTGGCTTGGAGTTTGGTCAAGGGCGTCCCCATTAWGAAGGTGACATTTGAGCAACGACGTGAGGGAATTGGCTCTGGGACCTTCGGATCCATTGAAGCCTTCTGGGAGGGGGAGCAGTGCAGCCCCAGGACTGCATGGGGAGGAGCAGCAGGGGACCCAGGCATTCTCCGCTCCMACGGCACAGGGAGCATGCTGCCACAGCACCTGCCTGGGGACCCAGAGGCAGTTCACCACCTGGAGTCCCTTTCCTCATACCATTGTAATTGTTAAAAATTAAATAACTAGAACAATATACACTTTAAGTCATTCATTCTTTTTGAATGGAGYCTGAGTCACACCACCAGAGAACAAAGTAAACTCACCAGATCCCTCTGCCTGGTCTCCTCCTCACTCAGTTCTGATGTGGACACTRGTGAGGACTGTGGACTTGGGCTGGACACAACCGTTGTGAATCGTCAGGAATTTTTAAAAAGATACYTGACCCCTACCAAAACAAATCAGGGATTTTGAATATCAGAAATATTGTGTGTGCCAGTTTGATTTATCTAAAAAGGTAGAAACGRTGGAGTCCTAATTTAGTAATATTGATCACTACTCAGATTCCATGTAAGGTCATGCCAGACGTTCCTACCCACTGTCTGCAAAAACCAGCCACAAGTAATAAATTCTGTCCTCTTTCCTTACATAATATCAAAATTCATTAATATTCATGAAATGTTTATTTTAGCAAAATAAAGTAGAACTGCATCCAGCTGTTCTGAGGGTTGGATAAGCCACTGGGGTAGGATCAGGATATGTCGGTTGCCTGGAGGGCCACTGTTATCATAGCCTGGTGAGGCCTCACAGCCTACTCATACCGGGGAGCCTCGGGGGAAGACCCCAGGTATGCTATTCAGCCAGTCAGAGCCTTGGTTCCCCTCATTATGGGCCGTGGCAGGGGTACGTAGTAGTTGCCTGGAGGCTTAGCAACTTGTTTACCATGACCCTACCACCCTGCTGTGGGTAAGACCAGCATTGGGAAAGAGCCTAGCTCCAGAGGAGTGCAAGGGCCTGGAGAGGTGGCCCAGAAGAAAATCCAGATGTGTATGTTTTGGATTGCTTTCTACCAAATCTATATGTGCCCATCTCTGCTGTGTTTARTTGATTGCATTTTAAATTTTGATACATATTATGGTGTAATGAACTGTGATTTATTATACTTGTAAGGTACGGGGAGCTGTCCTGGGAGCCTTCTGCATGCCAGCCAGCATGTCAGGGATTTACTTCAGCAGGTGATCTCCTCATGCCCTGGTGAGGGAGGTAGTGGTGGTTTCCTTTTAAAGTTAAGAGGCCCAAAGAGGGTGTCTTAGGCAAGACCAGAGACTCGAGGAGTGGCAAGGATCTTATCACAGCATCTCAAACAGGAGTCTTGACTTGGCTCTTTAAAATAAATGTAAACACATTCTGAAATAACCAGAAATACTTTTTTCCCCCCCCCCTGGGGAGAGTAGAAATAATGCATTATTTGTACTCCATTTTCCCTGAGTGTTTTGAGTAACTGCATCTGTACTCCTTCATGTTATTGGAGGAAAAGAAGCAGGTGATGTGTTCCGTGTTCACAGATGGCCAGTGGAGGAGTTAGGAAGCTAAGAATAGTTAAGAAATGTTTCATTTGTATTCTCATATAAAACAAGTCAGATTTCATATAGCTCATTGAAATTCAGCCTAAGTGCAAGCAGGTAAATATCTCAGCACATAGAAAAATACAGTAGGGTTGATGACTCTCTAACTAGGAGACAGGCCACAACTTCATCATTAATATGTGAACATGTGCATTACAGTCAGGATGCTCCTAAAGTTGCACTCATTGAACTGACRCAATTGAAAAGATCTTTTTTCATTTGCAATGTATTTATTAAGTTATTTGGTGAACGGATGGTGCATCAGGTGTAAGCCCACTGTGCTGATAAGGGCCTGGAGGAAGGGAGTCTCTTGAGGGAAGGGTCCAGCTCATTCGGGGTGGAAGGGGCTTCCCAAAGAACTGGAAGTTTCTGTTCAGCCTGGGATCTGGAAGAAAAGAAGTAGTGAAAGGGAGCCTTRTGGGCCAGGAGGGGAGGGTGCCCAGCAGGGATCACCTTGGGTGGCAGGACATTGGTGTGGAGTAAGGCATCTGCATGGAAACAGAGAGGGGCTGGTGCAGGTGTGGCCCTGTGTCCTGTGGAGGAGTAGTACCGCCTAGGCCAGGGTGGGTGGTGTGGGGCTGGGGAGGGAGAGCTGGGGCCATGGCCTAGAGCCAGCTGCCCCAGGCTTCCTCGTAAGACTGTATCCATTTTCAGGGACTTCTCTCTGGCAGTGATGCCTCTGTGTGTATCTTGTCTGATCTGTTAGAAGTTTTAATTTGAGAAGGGCTTAGTGAAATTTTCATGCCTGTTTTCTTTTTATTTTAACCGGTAGAATCTTAAGAAGATTCAAGAAATGGAGAAGAGTGAYGACTCCAGCACAGACCTAGATGAGCTGAAAAACGCTGACTGGGTGAGGCAGTGGGGTCCATTTCCTGGCTGTTCAGGTCTAAGACAGTGTGACTTCCTAAACATAGAGTTTGTTAGGACTGTAGTGTGAATTGATCGGATGTAAATTTGAATGCCTGGTTTAACATGTGAGGAAATATCTGTTCCCATTTTTAAAAACTTTCCTATTTTATCAGCCATCTTTCTTGTCTCTGGGAATTTTTGAAATTTTAAAATACCAACATTTCTAATGATACTAGTACCCAGATGTACACTTACGTGCACTCAAAGTCAAACATGTTTTCAGGATTAGGTGCAAGACTAGCATGCAGTGCCTTCATTTATCCAAAGACAGTTCCTGGATTAGGGTCCCAGGGCTTCAGACTAAGTAGTGTGGAGTCTGCCCTCTAGAGCAGGAGCTGGATCACAGGCCAGTGATGGATGTGCTCCAGGGACATGAGCCAAGCCTCCACTGGCCTGCTTCCAGATCCCAATGATGCACACTAGGGGTCCTGCCCTTAGTAAAACAGTGACAGGACAGTGGGCGCCCTGAAGCGTTCAAGGTGGRCTATGTCCAGGTGTCAGAGGGAGGCACACTTCAGAATTCTGACYTTTTTTGAGCAAAGCTTTAAACCCAAGCACCTTGTCTGTGAGCGCTTGTGACTTCTTGGCTGACTTTTTTTTTTTAGTATCCTAAAATGTTATTTTTAGAGTTGTTTTTGTTTGGTTTACTCAGCATTTTGTACTCTTGAATCATTCCTTTATTCTACATGACTGTAGCTTTTCAGAAAAAAAACTTTAAATTTACTTATTGATGCCTCTTGACCTGTGGTTCTTTCAGGCCCGATTCTGGGTCCAGGTGATGAGGGATTTGCGAAATGGGGTAAAACTTAAGAAGGTCCAGGAGCGGCAGTACAACCCACTGCCCATCGAGTACCAGCTGACTCCCTATGAGATGCTGATGGATGACATCCGGTGCAGAAGGTACACCCTGCGGAAAGTGATGGTGAGTGACCACAGCCATGAGTCTTCTCAGAGGGTCGAATGATGATGTTTGTTGAAATGGTCTACTTTATTATTATTGTTATTATTTTGGTACTGGAGATTGAGATCAGGGCACTTGACCACTGAGCCAGATCTCCAGTCTTTTTTTTGTGTTTTATTTAGAGACAGGGTCTCAAAGAGTTGCTTAGTGCCTTGCTTTTTGCTGAGGCTGGCTTGGAACTCATGATCCTCCTGTCTGAGCCTCCCGAGCCACTGGGGTTACAGGTGTGCACCACCACGCCCAGCAGTGGTCTACTCTTTATATTTTTTAAAGCATTTCTTCTCATAAAAGTAATACTTGATCATTGTAAAATATTTGGAAAATACATTAKAAATTTCTCAAAGGAAAGTTATAAACTTACAATTGCACAAGCAAAGAAGAACTTTATTATGTGGAAGACATCCCTCAATCTTTTCTCTGTGATTTCATTTGGATAAAATGGGCTAATTTCATTTTGTCACCAGTTATTTTTGTTTGACATATTGTAATGTTTTTTCCTGTCATTATAGTCARTATTACCCTTTCTGAATGGCTCTRTCTTTTGTAGCTATGGCTGAACCAGAGTCCATTAAGCTGATTGCCCCATATCCAATCATATGCAGCCTGTTTTGTGTGTTTTTTGACGTTTGTCTTCCTGAATAGCCACAATGAAATCCTTGGGTTCAGGTCTTAGAGTTGGAATGTCTAGCGTGCCAGCAGTCTGACAGCTCTACCTGTCAAGTRTGCCTGGAATCCGACCACGCACCCCTTCCACTTTGGCCACATTGTCTCTCCCTTGGACTGTGGAGGTGGAGACTGAGTGAGGTGCTGGGCTGGGTCTGGAGGTACCCTGCACCCTCCTGCAGCGTGCTGTGTGGCTGCTGGCTCTGCCCCGTCAGCCTCTGTGCTCTGTCAGCCTCCCTGCCACACACCTGCGGTGCCATGTAACAGCAAGAGGGGCTTGTGTCTTAGACCACAGATGCCAGGGCAGCCCCTGGGAAATGTGGCTCAGGGACAACACTGTGTCATGAAGTTATATCTCCAGTTCATGCCACAGTGAGCATTTGTGACCATGCTGGCTGGGACAGCAAGGTGTGCTGTAGGGTGGTGGCCACCAGTAGGTTTTCATGCTCCAGTGAGTCCTGAGTGATGGACAGGTGACAGGTGCATCCAGGCRCAGTTCCCCTTACTTTTGCATAAATTTTCCACACAACATTTTTTGTCCTCTGTTTGCTTGCTCATTGTAGAAAGAAATGAATAAAAGCAAACGTGCTGTGTACCAAAACCTTGCCCTTGGCCTGTTCTTCCTGTTCACTCCCTAATTATAGATAGGCAGGTAGGTTGATGGTCATTTTACACAGAGAGTGGCATGTAGTACTAGAGCCTTTTTCAGTCTGTAAAGTCGACTGTGGATGATCTCTTTGTTTAATGGTGGCTCAATATTTCCTTGTATCCAGACAGCAAAAGCATCAGAATGAAAAGTGGAGTGTGCTGCCAGCTTGTACCTGGTTCTCTCCCCTCCCAGCCTTCTTTCCTCCTGCCATTATTTACTTCCCATCCCATGAACGGACATTTAGGTTGTTCCCAGTTTCATCATTTTAATCAGGATTAGGATGATCATCCACATAAAAACATTTTGGGGCTGGGGCTGTAGCTCAGTGCAGAGCTCTTGCCTAGCATGTGTAAGGCACTGGGTTCGATCCTCAGCACCAAATAAAAATGAACAAATAAAATAAATGTATGCTATACATCTACAACTACAAATTTTTTTTWWWAAAAAATCATTCATTTTTCTCCYGGGTTTAAATTTCTGCCGGAGACATGAATTGATAAAGATAAGGCATGTTTAAAATTTAATGCATTTTTRCCAGTCTTCTCTCCAGAAGGTTGCACCAATTTGTATGCTTTCTAGTATTGCAAGATAATATATTCCAATCCTGTTGCCAATACGAGGTAGTGTTATCATTTTRAAAAACATCTACTTATTAGAACTTTATCCATTCTGATTGGGCAAGCACTTAGCATAAATCTCAGGTAGTTTTCCTCTGTAGCCAGAGGCATTTTTGAAAAATTCGTCAGTAATTATAGTAAGCCCAGTTGGTCATTAGCATTAATAGTTGATCTAACATTAATGTCTTTTACCTGCTACCCTTGATATTGTTAAATCTTTACATTTTTATCCAAAAAATAATTGTGTTGAATAGTAGGTAACRTTTCTGATACTAAGAATTACTAGGATAGATTCCCCTTGTAGCTGCTGACTTAACAGATTCCACCTGGGGCCTGGGTATTTGTACATTATATAATCACTCTTTGTGAGGATTATGGAAATAGTAATGTCTGATAGAATGTGTGTTGGTCAGCTTTTTTGTCACTGTGGCCAAAGGACCTCACGAGCAGCTTAGAGGAAGAAAAGYTTATTTGAGCTCATGGCTTCCGAGCTTCAGGTCATGGATGGCCAACTCTACTGCTCTGGGTCTGAGGACAGAGAGATCATGCAGAAGGGCCTGGTGTAGGAAAGCAGCTCAGAACATGAATCAGAGACAAAATATGAACTCCAAAGGCACGCCCTCAGTGACCCACCTCTTCCAGGCACACACTGCCTATAGTTATCACCTACTTAATCCATGTCAGTGGATAAATCCACTGCTTAGATTATAGCTCTTAATCTAATCTTTTCACCTCTGAACATTCTTGCATTGTCTCATGTATGAGCTTTTGAAGGATATCACATATCCAAACCATAACAGAATGACATCCAACTTGGAAAGTATTTGTAAGCATAATTATTTTTTTTCCTGGGGTAAATWAAAGGCTTTGAAAATAAGAATCTAGCTAGGTATGGTGGCATGCTCCTCTAATCCCAGGGGCTCAGGAGGCTAACGCAGGAGATTGAAAGTTTTTAGCTCCAGCAACTTAGCAAGACCCTAAGCAAATCAGTGAGATGCTGTCTCAAAACAAAAATGGCTGGGAATGTGGCTTAATAGTTATGCACCCTCAATCCCTGACACCAAAAAAATAAAGTGTACAGTTCAGTGACATTTAGTATATCACAAGATTGTACAGTCTCCACCTCTATCTAGTTCTGAAATAAATTTCATCCTCCTAGAAGGAAATCCATAGCCATGATGGGTCACTGGTATCCCCCACCAGCCCTGGCAACCACTTCTCTGCTTTGACTCTGAGAACTTACCTGTCTGGATGTGTCATGAATGGAGTCATGTGATGTGCCACCTTTTGTGTCTGGCCTCTTTCACTTGGCCTAATGTTCTTTAAGTCTATGCATCCTGCTAGCATGTAGGAGTGCTTCATTCCTTTTCATGGCTGAATAATCATTCCACCCCAGGGATAGATAACATTGTACTCTGTGTTGTTGCTTGGTAGATATTAGGTTCTTGTCACCATTGTGCCGTGCTGGTGGGGTTGCTGTGAACCGTCACTTGCAAGTGTCTGACATCTCATTTCTTTTCTTTTGGGTGTGTGCCTTGGTTAGAGTGTCTGGGTCACATGGTGATTCTGTGAGTGACTGAGCAATCACCAAACTCTTTCCACAGTGGTAGCACATTTAATGTTCCCACCAGCAGGGGACGAGGGCTTCTGTGTCCCACATTTTTGTCAACACATATTGTCCATGTCTGCCTTTAATCATAACTGCCCTGGTTGGCATGGCATGGTATCTCTTTGTGGTTTTGATTTGCTGATGACTAATACTATGGTGCTGTTATGTGTGTGTTCACGTGTTTGTGGGCCATTTGTGTGTCGTCTTTGGAGAGGTGTCTGTTGAGGTCCTGTACCCATTCTGCCATGATGTTGTAACATTCCTTCGTATGTTCTAGATGCTGAATCCTCAACACACACAATTTGCAAGTATTTTAYCCCATTTTGCAGCTGGTCATTCTTCTGTCACCCTCTTGATAGTGTCCTTTGGTGTTTAGAAGGTTTTAGCTTGGCTAAAACAGTTGATCTGTTTTGTATTCTATTTCCCATGCTTCAGGTATCCATTGCCAAATCCAGGGCATGAGGATATCCTCTTGTGTTCTCTTGTATGATTTTCACTTCTGCTCCATTCTTGAGTTAACGTTGCGTGTGGTAAGAGGTCAAGGTCAGGCTCCTGTGTCTCAGCACCCAACTCTAATGTATGAACAAATATGTATGGATTCATTTCTGGATTTTGAATTTTTTTAATGTAAATGTCTATCATTATGTTTTCATTACCATAGCTTTRTTGTGATTTTTGAAATAGAGAAGTGAGCCCTTTTCTTTTTCAAGATTGTTTTGGCTTTTCAAGTTTCCTTGAAATTCCTTATGAATTTTAGGATGCATGTTTCTACTTAAAAAACAGCATTTGGGGGGCTGGGGATGTGGCTCAAGCGGTAGCGCGCTCGCCTGGCATGCGTGTGGCCTGGGTTCGATCCTAAGCACCACATACAAAGATGTTGTATCCGCCGAAAACTACAAAATAAATATTAAAAAAAAATTCTCTCTCTCTCTCT